ATCTTTTAAGCTTTCCTTTCTTTAAAAAATATTTACAGAAGGACTTCCTGTGGCATTTACTCACTTAAACTGTTGGTACGAACTGTCATTTGCGTCGCTAATTATGTGCAATTTTGTTCAGGAGTTTGTGGGTGTGCCTCGAATTTATTATTGCAAGGGTAAGGAAACGTGGTGGCCTAATAGTTGGTGTGCCGGACTCGGGGTCGAGAGGTCTGGGTTCGAGACGGGGCTGGGTCATTGTCTTGTGTTCTTAAGAAAAACACCCTACTCTTACAGTGCCTCTCTTCACCTAGAGTAGAAATGGGTACCAGCGAATTGTCAGGTAAGCCTGATAATATGCCGAGGGGTAACTTTGCCATGGACTGGCATCCCATCAAGGAGAGAGTGGTGATAATCCCAGTCGTCTTCATCCTAAAGAAACCGGGATGAGCTCGTGCTGGGTGAGCCATATTGCTTGAGTACAGACTTTAACTTACCATGAAAGGAAACCGCTAGCAATTCCTGTGATATCTGCTCTGTCTTTATTACGTTATTGGATTCACAGTAGTTATATATAGTTTACTCTAATACAGCGCAAGCCATTGAAAAGAAAAAAAAAAAAAAAAAAGGATCTACCATGAGGAGACGGTCCCCAAATCACCGAAGACCAGTTTGCGTTTTCCAAGTTTTCTTTTCTGAGTATTTCAAAATCTGACAAGGCAACCGGCTACTTTATGATAAACATTGCACGTGCCATTTTATCAGTAAACTAGGAGGAATTGAACTAAAAGGTGAAAGCTCTAAGATGATTTATACATATTTATAGAAGACCTTGCAATAGGCCTATAAAGTTAGCCTTTTTTTTACCCCTGCAACAAGGTGCATTATTTCAACGGGTCACTATGTACACTTAAAAGTAACAACATAACGAGAAATGTTTTCAAAAAGTTAAAAGGACATTTGTGAGCAAGCAAAATTTTAAAGCGGGAAGGCATCGCGTTGTGGGATACGTAGCTGTTTAATTTGCATGATTTTTCATTGTTTTAAGGGGTGGACAAATTCCTTCCAGGCGTGCTTTGAACTTTTCGACTTTTCTGAGAAAGAAAATCGTGATAGAATTTTTTGATATAATTTCTGAAAAAGGTTCATCAAAAGGGTAAATAAACTGAATTACGAAATTTTGCAACTCTCGACGGATTCTCGATATTTACGGTCAGTGGCTATTAACAAATATTTGAAAGTCAGGGTATTTCATTGCTCGTTCGCCGCTGACTAAGAGAATATTGATATTCTCTCGCCGTAGACACAGAACTACTCTTCCAAACATCGCCACTATCATAATTAACTTTCTTTCATAAGTTGGATTTCTTATTTTATTTTCAACTTTGAAGGTCGCCATAACGAATCTTTGTTAGCAACCTGGCCGCTTGCCTGTAACGAAACAGTCAAATAAACCCCTTTTCTTGATGAATTCACTAGGTTTTTTTAGGGAGATCTGTAAGACCGACGGAGGCGACACCTCTGAAGCCTTGCGGCTTAAACCATTGCCTCGCTCCAGGAAGCAACAGTTGCTCACAAGATGACAACGACCACTTGCTATATGCATCAGGTAGTTTTTGCTCAGAGAGCCATTTTCAATTCAGCCTTGGAACGGACGGGGTGTTTCGCCACACTTGCTAAGGGAAAATGGTTTGTACTGAAAATGGTGGCACAGTTAATAATGTTAAAATTGATGTCAGCAGTAGCTGTAATGCTCCTTACTTGTTTCAACTCAAGGCGACTTGTGTGTATCATTGGCAGCTACAAAGAAAGGTATCAGTCAGAATTTTGGTTCTTTTTGGATAGCCAGAGCGACATCTGTTTGTTTCAGTTTGAACCGACAGTTACAGGCTGAAAAATAGACCCAAGGTTTCAAATAAAACAAAATGTTTTTCTGTTTTTCAAAAACATGAAAACTTCTCTATTTGGAAGTTCAGAAATTAGATTTGAAGCCGTGGTTACCCTAATACGAAAGGAAAATCAGAATATTTTCTGGAAACTGATTAGGAATAAATTTTACCGTAAGACTATTCGAAGGAGTGAGCCGATGCCGATGTCATCTATTGAGGGTATGGGATATCAATAGTTGATGTTCTCTTGATTGAGGGTTATCCAAATTTCATCAAGACTCTTCTAATTTTTCTTTTGAATTTTTGTTCCATTTTGGGCTCATACTCCGTCATGGAAAAATGATGACCCATGGGAGATCGCTGTTTTAGTTAGGTGCCATGACCTAACCATTAACGCTTTAAAAGACGTGCAAAACCTTTAAGAAAACAACATTTTCTCGACAATTTATTGCTAATTTTCTTCTTCCATACTCGTACTCTTTTATTTATGTCATCTTCCTTTTAATAGTCTTGGAATGAAAGAAATTGCCCTATAAGGCTATTACACACAATCAAAATGGTATACCTTATTCCTGCTATACACTAAATTACTTGGAACATGCTACTTATGTTTGGAGGAATAAACAGTTTTCTGGCATTAAATCACAAGTTATTTTGTATACATTCCATTTAAAAGTTTTTGCGCACGAGGAAACGTCTTAAAACACAAAACACACAACGACAGTGAATTCTCTACTTACTATAATAATCAAAACTGTTTTAACAAAGGAACATTTCTGATCACTCAAAACTTCAATTGTATGCTATTTCGTTGATTACAGTTAATTACTAAATTAATATTTGACTAAATGAATAATCGAAACACATTTCCTGGAAGTTTTTCATTGCATTGAATAAGCCTACTGATTCAACAAGCACACTCAGCAGCAACTGGCTTCTGCTGTCAGAAGACAACCTGTTTTCTTTTTACCAATCCAGCATTGTCTCTCCCAGTACTCTCCTCATGGTATATTCAAGGTGGGTTAGGGCGGGATTACCTCTGTGAATTTTTTCGTTATGCAGATCAAATATTCTTTTCTGATCTAGGCCATTTGGGATCCAATCACTCTCGTTTCTTTCCGTCAAGAAAACCATAACCAGTTTGTCCCTGACAAGTTCTTTGTTTTCTGTGAGCTCGTCATGTATGAACTTTCCGTCGAAGGTGATGAATTCGTCTTCGGTTTCTTGCTGTTTGTTTTGAATGAGGGACGAGGCTTGGCGTGAACCGATTAACAAGATACAGTCGCTGTAATGAAAATGTGCCTTAAAGTCCTGGTCCTCTGCTAAGATGTCGATGATGTTTCTCAAGTCTGCTGGCATATCCTGCATCTTTCCTCGCAAGTGATTCTTCAGTGCATGGGCTTTACTGCTGTCGCTCTCGGTATTCAGGACTATAACGGTTTTCATTCTTGTCTCGAAGGCGCTGGGTCAGTGTATGAATGAGCTAAAATCAGGCCTCTGAAAATTTGTGAATAAAACGTTGGTTCAATTTAAAAGCAGCTAAATGCGATTAGGCAGCTGCTAGTAGTTTGGAGAGTTTGCGAGATAGAGATCAAAATGTTAAGACCAACCTGTTTCTGGGGCCAATTTCTATCGCCATTTACCAGCCAGCTAATGGAATAATTAGAGAAGCTGCTACAGGTACATATGTATATCTCTCAAGTAAATGTGTGAAGTGCGTGTGAAATGAATATATAATACTTGCAAGAAAGGTCAACCATTGAGGAATTTTATTCACGCTAGGCGTTAGCAACAATGACCGTAAATGTTTCGCTAGGTTTCTGTGACACACATCCTCGGCGCAGAAGGATTATTAAAACAAAACAAACAAAAAACAATGAACACCGGAAAAATTAGTTTGGGTGAGGAAAAAAGTTTCTACCTATTTTTTTCATCATTATTATCATTATTGTTTCATTTACATTCTTCTGGTTACACATTCATTTTGCAGGAATGTGGTGAACTGTGAGAAGGCCCTCATTATTAACGCTTCGGCACGAATGATTCTTCGCCCGCGGGAAAAGAGGAGGCCTTGAACAACGCGAGCCGTCGAGAGGTCTGCAAGGGGTCTAATACTACTGCCTCGTTATTAGTTCCAGACCCCCTGTAAAAATCTCTCCCTTCACGTCTCAAATCTTCCCGCGAATGCAGAAACGCAGCGCCAGTAATAGGAGCCTACTTACAGGCTAGCAGGAATGTTTTTATTCGTCCCATGCTCATTGTTTCATCACAAAATGATGACTTAGCCAAGGATATGTATTTCATTCCCCACGGGAGGGGAATGACCTTAATATGTTAGAGCGCTTTTAATTTTGTTTGCTGAAATCAGGATTAGTCTGGTGTCAGTGAAAACTTTGGATTTTAAAGTTAAATAATGAAAAATTGTGTCATAAACATTAATTGAACATCACTATTGTTCCCAAATCTTTCATTTGCAACAAAATAATTGAGACCTTGGAAACAAGTAAAGGAAGGCCTATTACTCAGTATAATTGAAACTTGCCATGAAAAACTGAATTATTTCACAGGCTTTTCATATATATATATACATACATACATACATACATACATACATGTATGCATGCATGCATGCATGCATACATACATACATACATACATATATAAGTGAAGGAATCAAAGAGGACGCTCTTCAGACAGAACTGTCTGACGAGCGCTTAGGCGCGAAACTCAGAGTAACAGAGAATCGATGCGTCCTCTTTGATTCCTTCACTTATATATACCCAGCTCTGCTACCACAGCATTTATATATTGAGTTTTCCTCAACACTAGTTTTCCCTATAAGATTCCTTATGATTTATGGCAGTTTTTTTCTTTACACGTTTTACCCAACATCCTTTGTTGTGGTCATCTTATATTCTTGGCGGGAAATGTTGACGCGTGCCTAGTCTCGTCCCAAGCTTCCACCTTCCCACCTTCAAGACATGCGCTCTCTGTTGTGATCCTTTGCCTGATTAATCGGCTTGAAGAGGAAATTCGGAGAGGCGGAGTACGTTTTTAGCTAAGCCTTTACACCATAAACAAAGCAGGGTGATATACACGACTATTATACATACAGATTTATGCCAGCTAGAGATGAAAAGAGAAAAGTTGGTGGAGCGTGTTAACGAAGAGAATGGAGAAGAAACTCAAACTGTAGATGCCATTCAGTGGGATTTCTTCTCCATGGATAGAGAGTTTAATAGATCGGAAGATTTCTGGATTAAGGTAAAGGGGCAAGTGACTTTCATTATTTAAAAGTATCAGAATTGGCTGTAAATTAAATCATAGGCGTTTTGTAACCCTCAAATAATTAATGAATAATTTTTATACTTTGAACCAAAGGGGTGAAAAAGTTAAAGTAAGCTGAAACTTTATTCTGAAATTGCCTAGAGTGACACTCGTATTGTTAAAAAAACAGAAATATTCATCTAGTTATGTACAATAATTATCCTGAAGGTTCATGAAAAGCAAAGAGAAGGTTTGTCGTGGAGCAGAGCAATGAATGAGGTGCGAGTTGAAAGAATGATTCAAAATTACAAGGAGTGCGGCGAACTTGATAGCGAGGATCCAGCTCTTGTGATGCTAAAACAGTGGCCAGCATCCAAACAGTACAAAGATAATCCAGAGAAACTTCCAGGCCTTGAAAAGCTGGTATGTTAACACTGTGTTCAATGGTTGCTGTACCATGTTAAGGAGAAAAAATAACCACAAAGCAAAACTTTAGGTGAAATTTTGCAGTGCTTTTTCCCAATGAAAAGGCAGTCAGGTGTGGGGTTCCACCTGAAAGGATTATGCTGCAGTTTAAAGGAATTACCATGCTGTTATGTGTTTTGCAGATAAATCAAGTTCTCGAGATTCTTTTGGAAAGTGAACTGAATTCCAACAATAGATATGAGTCATTTATTGATAAAGAAGACAAAACAGAGAAGACATTACTACACTATGCTGCAGAACTTGGGTTTTTACATGTTACCAAAACACTTGTGAAGAAATGCCCTTCATTGTTAGCTGTATTTACAAAAAGTCAACTAAGACCCAGGAAAAGAGCCATGCTACCAGTTGAGTTTGCATTAATAGGAGAGAGTGATGAGGTGGCAGCATATTTGATCAGGATGATGCAATATGACAGGTACACAGTTGTGTGCAATGTTTATTGAAAGATTTATGATTAAAACATTATTTCTAGCTCTGTAATTAGTTACTTTTTGGAATTCTACATAAAAAAGGTCAGTTATTGGTGTGGAAGGAGTCAATTTGTATGTTTTGTGTTGTCACCAAAAAATGAAAGTGATAGAAATTAATAGGTCTTTATGTGGTCTTTTTAAACATTTCAAGTTGCTGTACTTGTTCACATATTGATTGCAATGGTGGTACTAACATTAATTTTATTTTATCCCATTGACTGATTTTTTTCTCTTTTTTGTTACAAACCTCCTAACAAAGTGTCAAGTGGTTATTTTCATGGAGACCAATTAATATCAAAAGTCCCCAGCCATCTCTCTTCAGCTTTAATTCCATTATTGATAATCCTAAAATGAAGGTGAGTATTTGTTACAAAATTGTTTTGCTAAAAAATTTAGGGCCATTATTAAGAATAAATTATGGGTATAGGAATTGCTAAACCTATAAATTGCTTTTTCTGTCACTTGTAAACTACTACTATTGCAACCAAGGGTGCAAATCTCTTTGTTGTACGTAAAATGAAACTTGAATTGAAAAGGTAAAAAAATGTTGTGATATTTTGTCAATTAAAAGAAGAGAATAACCTTCCAGAAACAATTAATCAGGTATTACCATCATTTGAAGTTATATTTTTAAATAAAATGAAAAAAGTTTAAGAAGATTTGCCACCTATTGTATTAGCTTTGATATTCCAAACAGTAATTTGGCATTAGAAAACTGTCTTCTAACAATGCCTGTTTTACAATAAACTGTATCTAAAAAGATTCATTGTGTCAGGCAAGAATCCTTTTATGTGCCAAGCTCCCAATTTTTTAATTAGAGAATTTGTTTTGTAACTGCATGGTTCGTTGCCAGGATATCAAGCAAGACCCATGGTGGTGTCATCCACGCTCCCAATGTCACTAAGTCAGATGTCTTACATGTACATAAAATGAAAATGTCTTTTAAATGATTTTTTACTAAGCATATTTACACAGCTGATCTGAATAGTAAGTTTTTGATGGCATACATTATGCTCACAGAAAACAGTAGTGGCTGTCTTAGACCAGATGATGAATCCTCATTGGCCATATCTTCCAAAACGTAAAGAAAGGTATACCACCCAAGAGGAAATGGATGGAATTGAAGGAGTATGGAATACCATTTCAGAAGATCCTTTGAACTTTTATTTTTACTTTCTTATCTTGGATGGTGATGAATGCGGGCGACCCCCAAAAGTTACATTATCAGGAGAACATGAAGAGTCAAATAACAAACATTTTAACTGGGGAAACAAGTCATGTTTAAGCAGAATTGCAAAGAGCAGTAATAAGGTACATATTAAGTTAGTGCACATGAGGTATTTCCTTCTGTTTTTGGATGAGTAATCAGACTTGAAAGAGACTCTCAGTTCTTAATGATAAAATTGTTTACCAGTGATAGCCAAGGTGATATGATTTGTGTCACTAGTAGTTGTGCTAAAATTCTGCTTGAATTTGAATAACAGGAGGCCTTGCAACATCCAGTGGTCAGAATGTTGATCAAGACAAAATGGAAAAGTTATGGACATTTCTTTATTAGGTGAATAATTTTTAACTTGATCATAATGTTTGTAAGGTTAGATCATAAAGCCAAGCCCAAAAGTATAGTGCAGCAAAATTTAATATGTTCTCCTCCATCTTTGTGGAAAAACACTTAGGGTCGGTTATTTCAACAAATTTTAGCCTTTGTTTACCAAGCCATCTTCAATTTAGCTGAACCTTTTATCTAGGGATTTTGTGAACAGTGTCAAGAGGCCAAAACTTTAAAGTGGAAGGACATTTATTTAAATGAAATCAACCCTCCTATGGAGAATCACTGTGGTTCACTGCTTGAGTAAAACTGCAATTTTGGTTGGATCTCATTTCAATAACTACCCCTTACTTTCTAACTTAGTAACCTAACCTAAATTTAGGTTTTACATTGCCTTACTAATTTTGGGTGATTAAATTTCTGTTTGTAATTTTTTTCAAATTTTTGGAATCCTTTTCTATGTAAGTTTAGGCTATTAATGTATAAAATAATAATTTTTTTTTACTTAGCCTTCAAACTGCATTGTATGTCATCTTCTTGCTGTGCTTGTCATATTCTCTACTGTATGGTTCTACCAAACTGGACCCCACCCAGTACAGAGGTGCAGCAGAGCTATGGTGTGGATTTTGTGAGGTTGTTACTCTTCTCATGGTTGTCTTTTATATATATGAAGAAATCAATCAAATGAGAATGTAAGTGAAAGGTAATGTAGAGAGATAGTGGAGATATGATGAGTGCCTTGATTGTTCAAAAACCTATCTCTTATTGCACCCTTGAATGTTTTGTTTTAAGTTTGTTTTATAAAAGCAATATTTATATATAGGCTGCAATTTCTAGTCATTTAATGGCATAATGTTGGTAGAAAATGCAAAAAGTTTGTTGATCACTTAATGCCCCCAGCTCTTGTTTTCAAACTTTTCCCCCACTCCCCAGGTAAAATGTCAGGCGGGATATAGGCGGGATCCCGGCAATCCCACCCAGGATCCCAGGTGGGAATGGCGGGATCCCGCCTTAGGTGGTGGGATCCCACCTTTCCCACCTGGGATGAAAATTTGATCCCACCTGGGATCCCGCATTTAATGCGGGATTCCTGCATCCCACCCGGGATCCTAGGTGGGACTTATGCATTCTACCCGGGATCCTGGTCGGGATTTACATATCCCACCTGGGATTCTTTATCCCAGCTACGAAAATATTGTTTTGCTGTTTTTATTCTTACAAAACGTTTTTGTGAGAGTTCCAATACTTATGGATCATCCACACACTCCGCAAATATTTGGCATGCAGACAAGACAGAGGTAGTCACTGTTCCCTTTGAGAAAATACACCTTTTAAATGACTTCTTCAATTTGCTTTATTTGAAACTCTGATCTGAAAATATTTTTAAAACAAGACTTGTTAGTAGTGAGAAGTACAAACCGAGTTTCTTTTCATAACTTAATTTCTTAAATGTCCCAATCACTGGACCTCCTAAAAAATATTACTTCTTTATATTTTTGGTGCAAAATACAATTCCTTCTTTACATACAAATGAAAAGTACAAGTCACAGTTCAATAATAACAGCTCTAAAGTTTACTTGTTGTTCTTCTCTGTGTCAGAGATCAACAAAATTTTTCTATACCTTGTAGGTCTGGTATAAAATTGTACTTGTAGTATAAAATGACAACCTTGTATCTTCGTTCTCTCCACCCCTTTCCAAGCTCGGTAACGCTTCGGACTGTGCATAACCATTTGCAGACGAGAATTCCAATGCACCTCTGTAATCGCATGTAGTTGCTTCTGTCTCTCGTGCAAATGTTTTCTCCGTTATGAGACGCACTTGACTCTGTTGGCACCACTGCTAGTTCACTGGAAAGACCGACTGAGGAATCGAGATGGCTAACTGTGTTGAAACGTGTTGCTGAACGCTTGTTGTGGTCAAGCCTTGTTGATTTGGGTACTGGTACACTGTGATCATCTAGGTATCTTTTATACTTCCTAATGTTATTGGCTTGTGTTGTTTCTCACCTTCGCCGTGAACATAACTCAAGTGGGTTTTGAGTCTTTCTTTCCTCGAAAACTTTCGGCCACAAATCGTGCATTCTTGTTCGATTCTTGTCGATTATTTCTACATAGAGTGAATTCACATCATTATTTATGTCATCATCAAAACATGAATCCAAGGTATCCACCATCTAAGAGAGGAGAACCGGTCAGAAGAGACAGAATAATGTTGCGCGCTTCTCTTGAGACTGCAATGGGTCAAGCCAGCGGATTCTCTTTGGTAAAAGGTCCACGTGATCATGCCCGTAATCGGAAACAAAGAAAACTCTATTTGGCGCTCATCTTTGAATGTACTTTTCATCGGTTAACCGCTCTTGCTTCAAGTTGTTTCTTTTCCCAACTGTTTTGCCTAATATAACACTTCTAAAGATTGGTTTTATTGTGGTTTAATGGGAAAACGAGAACAGCGTGAGTGTTTTAAATGAAAAGAAAGTCGTTGGCGCCGTGAACTTAAAAGAAGGGACAATTAACAGTTGACATATCGACTGGTTCAAACAACGATCGAGTGGCCATTTAAAGCTAGGATTTTTAGAAGTTTGTGGTGAGTACAAATTGCCATATTCGTTACGTGATCAAAATCTTATCAAAGAATAGAAATAACGGCTTGAATTAATCTTACCTAACACTCAGCGCAACTGAAACTCAAATAATTCTGAGAATCGAATTGGTCGCTTGCATACTGCAGTTTCCTAAGCTTACACTTTACAATGAAATAAATCTATGAGTAAGGTTTCAAGATTACTTTAGTCACATTTGGGAACATTCTGACCTTGCTTTGCTTTGAAAAATTCGACTGAAGAGAGAGCAGACTTTCAATCAGTACCTTTGTCAAAATTTTGATAACATGAATTATTGAGGTTTTGTCTTTCTTTTATTCTTTGATACACAACAGCCAATTTTTTTAAACGTTGAGCCTTATTACACTGTAGATGGTCTGCTTAAATGATGAAGAAAAAGTAATATGCTGAGTTTTGCTGTTATTCTTTAAGAATGTTCGGTTAAGAAATTTGTTAATGAAACAAGTCAAACACATGCTGGTTCATTGCAAATAAATTATGAGATCTTTATCACATATAGTCTGTGTATTCATGTACTGTTTGAATCATTTATGATCAATAGCTTGGTAAGACAATGGGATCCCATTGGAGGTGTCAGTATGTTCTATAGCTAATTGGAAAGTTTTGGACCCTCAGTGGATTGATGGGGTCTATAGCTCACCTAGAAAATTTTATCCTCTTAATTTTAAGATATCCTATCCAGTACATTTCATGAATCTGTGGTCTCCAGTGATAAACAGGATCCCTCAAAGGATTTTTCTGAAAGTGGGAAGCCATCTGTAATTTTATGCAGGGTCTAAACTGGGATTGGCAGGATCCCAGATGCAATCCCGCCTGGGATATGATTTCCCAGGTGGGAAACTATCTGAAATTTGAGGCAGGATCCTAAGACGGATTGGTGGGATTCTAGGTTTAATCCTGCCCGGGATGTGCTTTCCCAGGTGGGATGCTATTAGGAATTTAAGGCGGGATCCCAACTTCAATTGGCAGGATCCCATGTGGGATCCCATGTGGGATGTTCCATAATCCCAGGTGGGATCCCATGTGGGATGTTCCATAATCCCAGGTGGGATCCCATGCGGGATGTTCCATAATCCCAGGTGGGATCCCATGCGGGATGTTCCATAATCCCACCCGGGATGTTCCATAATCCCACCCGGGATGTTCCATAATCCCACCTGGGATGTTCCATAATCCCACCCGGGATCCCATGCGGGATGTTCCATAATCCCACCCGGGATCCCACCTGAAAAAGGCGGGATCCCACCTGGGACACACATGGGATCCCAGGTGGGATTGGCGGGATCCCACCTTATATTTTTACCTGGGTCTCCCAACATCCTGTGTGGGTTTTTATGCTGGTAAACTGATAGAAAGTGCTGTCTATTGCATGATTATTCAATGTGGTTAAAATTACCAAATATATCTGTATTTAGGTCTGTCTTGCTGGTGCAAGAGTTTCCCCAGATGAAGGGGAAAAATTACAATATTATAAACAAATGTGCCACATATTTATGAAGCAAAAATCAAAGTTTGTGTTCTTGAATAAAGCTGTCCCAAAGGAGAAGAACCAACGAAGTGGTGAATTATTTTTGCTTCGTTTTTGTTTCATTTTTGTAGAGAAAAGTATTCATACTTCTCAGAGTGGATGACCCTGTTTGATTGGTTGGGCCTGTTATTGATCCTGTGTATTATACCATTGCGATTCACTGGCAACAGAGCTCAGTGGACAGTCGCATCTTTAGCTGTCTTGTTTAATTTCCTGAGGATTTTTAAGTTCTCGTGTGTGACAAGGTAAATAATATATCGAAAACCTTCAATTGAAAGTTTTCGTTAACGTAGTTCATTTCAGAAACAAAAAAAAACGTTCTAAGGACTTTTATTTTGCATCCATCTACACTAACCAATCTAGGTCGTTGCAAGCCACTAAAGCATTTTTTTTGTCTCTTCTATCTTTTTGTTTTCCTTTTTTATTTATCTTCTTGAAAAAGCATATAGTTTTTCCATTTTGCATGAAACTTAACCAATTATTGTACAGTAATCAGTATCTAAGAAGCCTTTAACCGATCGCGAAGCACAACGTTTGCCTTTCCTTTTCCTACCTTTTTTTCTTAAAGGAGAGGTTTTAATCATTCCAGAGTACAATTCATTGTTAGCTGTTAAACTGTACACTTATCAATCCCAGCAGTTCTGATTTTTAAATTAAGCCTAGTTCATTTATCATAGTCAGACCTTCATCTTTTTCAGGTCCACAGGATTATACACGAAAACCTTGGCTAAGATCATTCAGCAAGACTTGACAAGATTTATGGCAGTTTTTGTTGCGATCTTCCTTCCCTTCTGTGGAGCTTTATTTTTATCTCTCCGTTCATCCAATGAAAACCAAGAATTAAGGTGCATCCAGTAATTTTATTTACATCTTATTCCTACCTTTTTGAGCTTTGCTTGAATATAATTATTCTGGGAAAAAATGTATAATACTTTAAGCTTTCCAATTTTGAAAATATTCGGTCAGGCTTGGAGAAATACAGCTCAATTGCCATTATGGCTAATTTATTCCACTCGACTGGGAAATATCCAGGGATGTTGTTTACGTTGTTTTAAATCTATTCTTTACATTTAGTGGCTTTGGAGAGGTATTGTTAAGCGGTGTTCGTGCCCTTTCTGAGCAACGATCCATTGTAGCAGATTATTCAAGCTTCAAGTGAGTGACTTCGACCTAAGTAATTAGTAATGACTGAAAACTTGTACTCGTGGTGGTGTTATATGCAGTACGTCACCCCTCGATATGCAATTTTTATCCCTTCGATCGTGCTTTTTACCTGTGGTGGGTATGCCGCAAAGAAACGACTTGAACGATCTTGGGGGCGAGCTGGTAAAGGTGGGCGCGAACTTGTTTTAATGCAGGGAGTAAACTCGCAAAGGTGGTGGAAGCGAAACGGTAATTGGGCGAAACCTCCGCTTACCGTATTCATGTAAGGTCATATAACTTATAAAGTGTTGTGAATCTTTGTTTTCTTGCAGTTGGCTCTCCATTATGTTAATGCTAGTGTACATGGGGACGGTAATGATGATTTTACTAAACATACTCATAGCACAAATGAGCACGACGTACATACAGGCCAAGAAAGTCGCCCGTCTGGAGTATGATGTGGATCGCATTTTACAGCTCACTCGTATGGAAAGATTTCCTCTTCTGGTATGTGGGCGGAATGTATGGAGATTACATGTTTAAGAAGTAGGCATTGGTGTGCATGATCACATGTCTTCATGTAGGTGGGCATGTGCTCGCTCGTGTTCAATTAGTTCAAGAAAATATACAGTTGATACTTTTTAGGTTAGTTTACTTGCGCGAGTCTGAATGAGTGGTAGAAAATAAGCAGGAGCGTGGAGAAGGTGACAAGATGCATGCCCTTGAAACGATGAACCCCAAGAAAAACAGGTTTCTAGCGTGCTCAATTCTTACTTGCAAAAGCGAGAAAGTACAGTGATAATTAAGTTCTTAATTTGGCTTGTAATATTTCAATCAGCTCAAAACGTATATGTCTGTTCAGGTGTTTTATTTACTAAGAAATTAAATTTCTTATAAATTTTTTACATCTATTCACTTATCTTTCTATCTTCGATGCAGAATTTGCGCGTAAAGTATTACAAAGAGGGAGAATGGATCAGTGAAAAGAAACTTGCGGAAGGTTTGTGGTAATCTAAGCTCGCTAAAATTTCATGATGAGATTAATTGAAGGGTTGGAAATAGACTATGGATGAGCATTTTTCCGAGAGTCCATTGCCGCAATATTTACCATGGCAATAGTTTAACCTCTTTTATGAAGCCATGTAGTAAATGTAGTGAATGTAATAAATTTGATATCATAGAAACTTAACCAGCTTGGAACGCGTAAAATTTTCATATTCACGATAAGTTGATGACCAAATTAAGCATATCCTTGTTTAGATTCTCAGTTGAAAACAGATGAGGACGGGAAGAACTGGTCATTTGGCCATCGAAGGCTAAAATACTCTCTATACTTGCAATATAAAGAAAACTGAATATTTTACTTGCTTATATTTACATTGCAGAACTTCTTGAGTTCAGTGAAGATCGCAATCCTTGGGAATCAGTGGAAGAAAAGCTTAGCGCGATAAGGTATGAATGATTCTTACAATGAAATTAATTCCATTTACTTATCCTTGCATTATGCAGCCGTATCTCCTTGGTCTCGATAATTTTCTTCTTTGCGACTCTTAATCCCAGGGATATGATGAGGAAGATGGTGAAACAGATGAGACCTGAAAGAGGGTGAACAGGGGTCAGACATGTTGGCCACTACAGGAACATCATGTTCCATTCCATTCTAGCTTGTCACCAGGCCCTCAGTATTATCACTTCAGCACGAGGGTTTCTTCGCCCGCGGAAAAGTAGGAGGCCTTGGGTAACGCGAACCAGTAAGAGGTCTGTAAGGGGTCTGGCGCTGATAGTGAGGTGCCAGGCCCCGGGCAAACCTCCCACTAACTCATCTCAAATCTTCTCGCGGCTGGAGAAACGCACGTCCTCCAGCGATGACGATGAAAGCCTTCTCGTAGGCTACTCCAATTGAACACGACCTTTAGGCATTTGAAGCTCGTTCTAGACTTCTTTTTACAGATCGAGTTTCATTTGAAGCGGGAAAAAAGCAGTTGTTGTCAGAATCAATCTGAACAAACACGAAGAACTCGGTGGACTATTGATAACTAACGAGTCCAAGTTCATTATGATATTGTTTCACTAACCGTGTGAACAGGAAAATTACCAAAGAAAATAAGAACAATAACAAGTACCTGATTGAAGCAACTCTAAAGTACCGTTTACAATCCATCGAAAAATTTTTCTGTGTGTTATTTTAGGTGGACTACACAGTTATCTTTAAATTTTTTTATTTATTCAACGAAATCAATACTGGGATGACTTTGCTGTGCGCGGTGGAAACAAACATGGATAGAATGCAGCTATAACGCGCATCCTGTTACTTTTGCAGCTGCGCGAAACGCGTTACATACAGTGGAACTCCGCCAGTGGATTTCATTGACTTGTTTTTAGACTCTTTTGCCTTTATATGGCGAAGAATGGCCTGGAAAACAGAGAGCGAATTATTTGATGGTTAGGTGGCCAATGAAAGGAGGCCGGATAGCACTGGAAAGAGTACTGAAAACTTTCCTGTTTTGAATTGAATCAACCAAAAGGAGTTATGAGTACAAGTTCTTGTCTACTGTTTTTTTCAATAAAAAAGGCAGGGAAAATTGTTCACACTGTAGGAAACGTCTTCTTTTTAAGTTCTTTTCACTAATAGTTTGCGATGGACTGAAAGGCCTATCAGGAATAGAACAATCGAACAGAGGCCTTAACAAGAAATTTACAAAGCACCACTTAACAGAGCTATTTTATTCAACACTCAATTCGAAAACGAAAATATACTGCAATAACGAAAAGAGATCCTTGAATTATTTGACATGCACACCTGTCGTCATGAAGGCTGCGTGAAAGTTTGAGCAGCGGGTAGTGTCCTTAGAAATGAAATTCAAACGCAAAGCTGTTTTTCCTGGTGAAATTTTTCGATAGGTATTAAAAAAAGGTCACAATAAGGTACAAAAAGTTAAAAAAGCTTCAATAATTGTAACAATGACATTATTATGGCAATATTAAGTGTCAGGAAAGTACGATTTTCTGAGCGCAGATGCATTAATGCGCTGTGGATGAAACGTCTTCATTTAAACTTTCTTCGTGTTGTGTTTTATTGTTGGAAGCTAACCATCTGTTCAGCCACTCTTGGCATTTCTCTTTAACATCTACAGTCTCCCGCGACCGCGAATTTTCAAGCAAAGTTTGTTCAGTTAAACTACATGCAGAAACTGCAGATCCAAAGTGTGGGGAAGTGTCATAGTCCGACAATTTTACTCTTTCTTGAGAAGCTCTTAAATCAGCGGGGCAGCTGACGCATTGTCTGTTCAAATCCATTCTGTCGAAATCCGAGAAGTGCACACGACTACTGTTACAGGTACAAACTGCTTTCGTCATGTCTATGACACGTTCTTTGTGAATTCGCCGTTCTGTGAAAGGAAATGGAGGTCCCGTTGAGATTCGTTTTCCTAAAAGCCGGCGTCGCGTTTTCAGAACAGCAAGTGAAGTGTCTGATTGTTTAAGAGCATCGCCGCCATCGTACGAATTTCTTTTGGTCTTTAAAACAACTTCTCTGAGTTTCACACAGTGTTCGTTTGTCTGCAAAGTGCATTTTAAACTTTCACCATTATGAGAGGCCGTAAAATTTTTAAACGCTATCAAGTCAGCATGAAGTGATTGTTGCGATTGAACACACATGTGAGGCCGTGCAGCTAGCTTTTCTGTATTTCGCACTATAGTTTGCTTTCGGTTCAAAATATTCCTGAAATCTGACTTTATCTTATGTGTTCTTTCTCGAGGTGAGACTCGGCTTGCCGATTGATCAGGCGAAGGCAACGAAGTCGAGCCTTTCGAAGTATTCGACACCTGGTCGGATTCATTCGGAGAATCAGCGAAGTAAGCCGCAATATCGTCGCTTGAATCTTCGCCAAATCCGCTGTCAGTTTTCGAAAGACGGCTTCGTTGTTTTCTAAGTTTCTTTGCGCGATCCAGTGGCTTAGAAAATTGGGGTGAATCATCTCGATCCTCATCCTGAAAGTTCAGTTTAGAAACGAATAATCCTTCTAAGTCATCCATGCTCTTTCCTCCATTTTCTTCCAACGCAACGGTGTTATCTCTAAGTCGGCCCTGTTTCGCAACCTTCTTTGCATGTCCTGGATTCGTTCCTTCGCTGTTCTTCAAACGTGTACGAGCCATTGCGAAGTTTTGTGTTAGTTGAGTAGTTGTAATGTCGGGAAGAACAAAACTTTCTCTTGTTTGGCTTAATTCAGGAAGAGAATACCTTCCAGTTAGTACTTTACCTTTCTTAATTCGCGCTCGTTCGGCAGCAAAATCTATCGTATTCCTCTCCACTCTTTCTTTAAAGGCAAACATCTCGTGCGCTGAGTTCTTCGACGTCGCTAAGGTTTTTACGCCAAAAGGAGCAACTTCTTTCACTGAACAGTCAATAAACAAATTTAATGAGCTTAACGTCGTCTGGATGAGGTGTGAAGAGCATTAATTACGAGTTGATTGGCTCATAAATTAAAGCAAAACAGTATATATCATTCACTCGTGATTTCGCTGAGTGGAGAACTTGTAGGATACTTGTTTAAATCGTCCTTTGGAAATGAGAAACTGGCAAAACGGATGTTATCTTTAAAGGACGAGAGATCACGTTTGTTCCGTGTGGGTAGTTACGTTGCAATGACATCTTTTGTTTTCCCAAACAAACGAGGAACATTCCAGAGAAAGTTTATGAATATTTTAAGTCTTTACAAACTTTTTCTCTTTTGCCTTTTCCAGCGTTTTCTCTGACAATTAGCCTATGAACTCTACTATGCTTTAATACCTCTTGATGAAATTTCAGAGTATTTGAGTCCTTAAAGCAAACTGTTGAACTTCGAGAGAACGTTTATGAATATTTTAATCTTGGTCTTTTCAAACTTTTTCTCCTTTGTCTTTTCCAGCGTTCTTTCTGACAATTATCCTTTGAACCATAAAATGCCTCTGTTATTTAATACTTCGTAATGAAGTTTCAGAGTATTTTGAGTGCTTCAAGCAAACTATGGAACTTTGAATATGTAAGAGTAAAAGCAGTCACAGTCGCTTGCACGATTACACAGCGTGAAAAGAAAAAAAAATAAAACAATGAAGTCCTAATTTGTTAGTGCTTATTGTTGGGAAATTCAG